ACATAATGAGTGAATTAGTTTCATTGGTGGCTAGATAATCCCTGTCGCAGACACCTGACTCAAGCATGTTTGTATTTGTTCAACACTCACAGAGCCCACATGAAACTATGCTGAGACCTTTACGTGCAGTTTCTAGGAGTGAAAGCGTAATTTATCATTAACAATAGTTTGAACAACGTCAATAGGTACAACCTTTAGGTCATGATAACATATGGCCTTGTGCTAGCAAAAACATCGGCGGCACCTGAACCACACCCTCTACCCAAATTCACTCATGAGTCTTGGGTTAATCCGTCAAGCCGTGGCATATTTTTTCAGGCACTTTTCAAAGATACCTCACGTCGGAATCTCTACCTCCAGATCGGTATCAAGATTTCCCCTTTCTGACGATGGTGAGATAAGCGATAAGATAGCGAACGTTGTACACACGCATTTATATATATACACACACAAGAGTTTTGTCTACTTATTTTTAATAGAATCCTCTCGTAATTACAGACATGTTTCTGAGTATCCTTAATAAAGGAAAAAAAGAAAATCACCATGTTGATGCACGTTCCTTTTATTCAGAGTACTTTCAAAATTACCACAATGTTATCATCAGGGTTTATCGCGTTCATAAATTTTTCTAAGACATAATTGAAACTAACCCCTAATAAAAATAATTATGAATTCTGCACAAATGTTTTAAAATGTTTACAGTAGATAATTTAAAATATCTAGGTTTTAGCTAATAGTTTTAAATAGTTTATTTTTTTTATATATCTAGGCATTTCAATTACATAGTTACCTGCCTTGACGTTTGCTTGTGGGTCTACATGATAATATTTAAAATTGGTACAGTAGCATGTTTCACTTCACGTGTAAAAATGTAATTTTTAGATGAACACAACAATTTTGTCTTAGAAAAATGAAGAACGCAATAATTTTTTGTCCTTGAAAAACAAGACACTGATGACGACATTGTGCTAATGACGAAAGTAATCAGAATAAAATAAATATGCATCAACATGGTAATTTTCTTTGTTCCTTTAATAAGGATACTAAGAAACTTGTCAGTAATTACAGGAGCATCCGATTAAAAATAATTGGACAAAAATTGTCTAACTTTTTAATGAGACATGTCTTTATATATATATATATATATATATATATGGAGATTTATTTATTTTATTTTTTATTTTTTTCTGAAAGGGTTTTGTGTATATAAAAACTGTCGTAAATCGCTAACATTTGTTTTTTGACGACTTCATAAAGGGTTATCTTTTTTGTAGGGCATTTAAACTATTTATTAGAACTATGGAATTTAAAAATTTAAAAATTCTAAAAATTATTTTATTGTTTGCTTATGCTAATTATTCAATGCAAAAATTTGATGATGTCGGCAAAAAACCGTTAACTCCTGTCTATTGTTTAATAGATTTTCATTATTTAGAAACTTAATCTTTAGTTTTTCATGTAGGCATAAAGGGCATGAGTCATCCCAAGTTTTACAAGTTCTAGTTTTGTTTATAATTTTCCATTTTACTTTTGGTGTTTTATTCAAATGCCAAAAATATTTAGATAGAGATGTCTGATTTCTTTTACTTATATTGTTGAAAGAGCACTTATGCTGCCTCCATCTGGTTTTAAATTCATTCTTCGTAGACCTAATGTATATCATATTAGTATTAGGACTCTCAATGGATGAGATAATACATTGGTATACCACAGATTTTACGCGGCATTTATTTTCCAATCGGCAGTCTTCTGGGTTTCTACAATCACATAATTTTTCACTATTTTTGTCTAATTTAAGTGTAGGGTTTTTATTAATACTATTCAAGCATGGGGGTTTGTTCAGGATTTTATTATTGTGTTTTTATTATTATTATTATTATTATTATTATTATATATATATATATATATATATATATATATATATATATATATATATATATATATGTCCGCTTGTTTTACTGGTCTTTATTAAAATAAACCAGTCACTTTCCTAAACATGGTAAAGACCTTAGCATTTGGATCACATCGTAAGTAAACAATTTATAAAGGGAAATGAAACCATTTGGCATATTTTATAGTATATTTCGAATATATGCAAATATTATGAACGTTATTATAACAGGACGCAGATGAAAACAATAACGAATATATTTGAAACTTTCGAAATGCTTTAACAAAGACGTTTTAGACACACCCGTTTAAATCTCGCTCGCTCTCTTCCACTTCCCCCTCTTCCCTTTCTCTTTCTCTAAGAAATGAATGAATAAACAATATCATATCGCAATGGGGAGAGTTAAGGATCTTGAGCCTCCCAGTCTTCGACATTCTTGCTAGTAAAATGATGACGCCATATTTCACTCCTGAAATATTCTCCTATAAAATACATAGATTAATAATAGATGTTTGCCTTTAGAACACGTCTCTTTTCATGTTCAGATTTCAAGTGTCTGTTTGGAGAGCCATAATGACAGTTTGAATATTAGCCTGCTTGTTCATTTGGGCAGTTTCCATGGAATCTGCAGGAGTTTCGATTTAATATAGTCATTTTCTAGACACTCAAGCTTTCCAAATTAAGCAGATTAGCACAACACAACATTCCAGCTACTTATTCCCTTCAATTCAATTGGCTACCTTCGTAAGCCAAGCTAAGCACGAAAAGTTGCCGAAAAGTTATCGGCCTGACCTAATTCTTAGACTCAGTATGTTCGTGACCAAACATCTATAGGCATCACTAGTACACTGTAGCTAGCTTAAGGGATGAGCGATCGGAGAAAATGATAAAAGTTTACTTCATTTTGACTAAGAATCTTCAAGTATTCAACAATGTTCCTTCAAGAGTATGATCTGTCATCACTCACGTTTTTGTTTAATTGAATTCTCCGAGTAACTGATATCCAAAAGAGGTCTTAATTGACACTGCAATGCATTGGACGTTTGTGGATTGGTAGCTTTTGTTGATGATGGCTGCTAAAATGCTTTGAAAGGTATTTTGTCGTTGAATTCCACTGTCTGTCTTAATTAGAACACACATTGCTGATGCAGGTTTTTCGACGACTGCTGGTGAGGCTTTTGATGTTTTTACACCAATCAAGGTGCCCTTAAGTTAGATTAAGGCGAACCTCTGCTCAATGTATAAGATGAAAATCCAATTTTGGTTTGGTTTGGTTTGGTTTGGTTTGGTTTGGTTTACTGCATATCAACCTCTATGGGTTTTTTAATGACGACAATATTTTTTTATTGCTGGTAATTTTTTTTTCCAAAAAATGTATTGCTGGTAATAATTTTTTTTCTTCAAAAATTCATTGCTGGTAATAACCTTTTACAAAAATGTATTTCTGGCATTAAAACCTATTTTTATACTTTCATAATGTTTTGATTCCAGCAAACAGGTGGCAGCACCTGTTAGGGTCCCATAGCTGAGACCCTAACAGGTACTACCAACCCGGTCAGGGTAGACCTAGCAATTTAGAGGTAGTTCAGCGTTCCTCAAAAGCTGATCAGAGGACTTGCTGTTGGAAGTAGTTTATTGTCTTACCCAGGACGTCCGACTTTTTTCTAGCTTCAATGTTGTTATCAATTCTTTTGAAATAATTGTAAGATTTCTGTTTAAACAAACCTATGGGGAACACTTTGGGAATTGCTGGAATCTGAGTCCAATTAAGAATTCTGCCGAACTAAAACCATGTTTCATGTCCTGTAATTCAGATGTCTTATGGATCACTTGCTTTTTTTTAACAAGTTCTTCAATGTTTGAACTGCCCGTTCAGCTTCTCCAGGTCCTTGTGGATAATGTGGGCTACAAGTGAAGTTTCTGAAACCATAATCTTTTGAGAATTTTTTAAATTTAAATGTAGAATGCGGGCCATTATCCGCTACTGTCTGATAACTGTTTCATTCTAATTTCTTACAAAAATTGATTTATTATCGAAATATTACCAATTACCGAATTAATGAAAAGTTTGTTTTAGATTCGCTTATCATATCCCGATTAGTTGGACTACTATTAGGAATATGTGAGAAAGTGTCTACTGTTACTGTTTCTTTTATTGGTATGTAAATGAGATCGTATGAAAACCTCATTAGTATCATTCGAAGCCACTTGATCCTAGGAGGTCAATTCATCTAGACGTTTGTTTTCTTTAGAAGTATCAGTAGCGGTTTGTGGTTTGTTTTTTATGATAAATTTCGGCAACCCGACTGGGAAATCTGCCAACTTCTCGTAGCACCATTTAACACTAAAAGCTTCTTTTTCGGCTTGAGCGTATCTTTTCTCAGTCATCGTAAAAAGCTTGATGCCTAAAACACTACTCTCCATTTAGTCCCTCGCTTCTGTAGAGACACACCCGAATGCATCGTGATACTGAAAATAAAGCATCGAAAAAAGTATGAAATACTTAACGTCCTTCACCATTAACATCATTAGCCTGTAAATTTCTCATATTAAAGGATCAGCGAGATCATTTGAAATACTTTTTGTTTCCATAATCATTAAACTTTATCATTGCTCACCTATTCCGTCCATGGTATTCACCTAATCTTACTCCCGAGCCACATCCCAGTTGCTTTAATTTTCCTTTAGATCTGGGAAGAAATTCTCCAGCATTCACTTCTGAGAATTGATTACACGGTGTAGCAAAATTAGGACTTGTTTTTTTTTGTTTGTTTTCCTAATTGCTTCTTTCTCGAAGTAAACAAGAGAACTTTGTCTTTCATTGCGGATTTTACGCCTGCAAAAAAAAAGTACAATGAATCACTCGAATGAAGAGTAGCTCAAAGGAATTGTTCACTAGTTCGAAGAACTCCCAAAAAGATTATTTGTCGAGTAATCGTATTAATTTGTATCAGATATAACAAACGAGTTTTTTTATGCAGAAGATAATAAAGTGTGCGCATGCGCGACTCATCACTTTTTGTCAAGTGTGAAAATGTAATAACAGTTTTCAGTAATCTTATATTTTCATAGTCATAATTTTTTCGATTAATTTAATTGGTTAATAATTATGTTCATTATATGTTTTCTCTCCTTATTTTTAGCAAATGGTCTAAAAGAAGTGGAAATCGAGAAATGTCGGCGAGATATAAAAGAAATAAAGAGGGAATTATTTTCATCAGAAAAGAAAGTCATTGATTACAATCGAATTAGGTAAGACATGATTTGTTGGCATTTTCGAAAAATGAAGAAACTCTACGTAAGAAATAAATATTCTCTCTCTGTCTTTTTCTCTTTGCTTTTCTTTTTCTTCGTATAGGCAAAAATGATTCTGTTAAGCGTAGCTAGTGCGTATGTATGTATGCATCTATCTCGATATATCCTTCATTTTTTTTGTTTGGCAAATGTCAATATGTAGCTTGGATACAGGAAATCATTGATCCAACAATCCACCAATTTACATGTGATGGATATGGCAGAGTATGTCTCACAAATGCAGGCCTCGTTAGCTGTAAGTGTCGCATTTGTCGACCTTTGGCGAATTACAAACGATACCGCGTACAGAATAATTTAACACGCGGAATATGTCCGTAACCCTGCAGAAACCGTCACCACCAAACACACTAGTCGCATGGAGGGGCACCTGAACAGATTTGCGAAACAGACCAGGCTCTGTAAAGAAGAACTTACTTTTGCAATAAGCATGGCAGTTCAAATGCTGGCTTCAGAAGCCATTGTCGTTCTCACGAGAACTAAAATCCTGCATCAAAATTGTCAGCGAGGTTAATACTCGTTTAAAAACTCAACGGCTATCATGTATGTATATATTTAAATTTATATTGTATATCATATGAGTCTGTAAGCATTCCTTCGGCTACACTTGTAATAATAATAATAATAATAATAATTTATAATATTGTATTAACGAAAATAATTCTTTTAGATAGTTCACAGATCCATTATAGTTGTATAATCTCCGACTGCACAAAGTGCAGAAGAAGAAAATGTAAAGTTAGAAAACGTCAAATGTCAATAAAAATCGCAAGAAATTACAATCGTCATTAGAAACCTGAATGCCAAAATTGGTAAGACTGAAATTTAGACTAGGAATTCGTAATGAATGCGGCGAAAAATATGTCCATTGTTTCACGGCGAATGATCAAGTCGTAGCCAACTCCTGGTTTCAAGAAAATCCAAAACATGGAGAAGCCAAGAAGGGGAAAAAAGAAACCCAAATCGCCTATATAAATATCAATAAGAGATTCAGGAATGCAGTTTGACACTGCAAAACATATCCAAGTGCCAGCTGCGCGAGCGAAAATCTTCTAATGATATGAAATCATAGAGGGAAACAGTGGAAACTGAAGAGGACTAAGGCAGCATCGAAACAACAAAACGACAAACTACTTAGATATGAATGCGAAAAAAATATATGAACTGTGTAAAAAGCAGATATAATGGACAAAATGACAATGGAAATATGAGAAAATTTAATAAGATACATCAGCAATCGAGTTAATCCCAAAGACGATAGATACAAAAAAGAATAGATGACATCGACATAATGAAAACGAGACATAAATAATGACAGTATTTAAATTGCGAACAAATGTAGGCAAGCTAAAGAGGAACGACTCAACGAAAACTTTGCAGAAATATAAAGAATGCGTATTACAGATAAAGAAAAAGTAACAACAGAAAAGACATGCTCATCAAACAGGATGAATAAAATCCAATTATATTAGAGAAGCAAATATACGTCAGATATGGAACAAATATATCGGAGAAGTCTTCCACAATGTAAGAGGACAATCGGCAATTCACAGAAATATCAAAATTAAATAAATATTCAAATCAGAAGTGAAATCATATTTGGCCAAACTGAACAGTAACAAAAGCAACAGGAACAGAATGAAATTGTAAAAGAGATACTGGCAGATGATTTTAGCATTGGCAAGATCACAGACATAATAAATGCAATATATAACAGTGTCGATATACTGGACAACCTAAGTAGATCTATTTACATAGTCTAAGAAGTTAGGTGAAAATGAATGTGAACTCCCAAGGTCAACAATCTTAATGAACCACATAACAAAACGTATCATCCGAATTCTTATAAACAGAAGGCGCAGTACTATCAGACTTGAAGCAGAAAAAGAACGGACTGAGTTCGTTAAAGACAATGGAACAAGCAATGCCATATTTACGACCAGAATATCAGAAAGATATGTACCTATGTTTTATAGATTATACAAACGCATTTAACAAAGTAGAACACAAAGAAATGTTAGGTAACCTTATCATATATGAGGAGGATATTAGAATAACCCAGAAGCTATGCTGGCAGCAAACATTCTTCAAACGGAAAAAAAAAATAAATTCAGTAAATATAGAAAAACAGAAATGGGTGTAAGACAAGGGTATGTCTTCTCACCAGACTTATTCAGTGAGGCGATTCGTCGAGAAATAGAAGTCCATTTAGTGTTCATTATTGGAGAACACAATTTTAACAACATAAGATATGCAGATGACAGTGTTGATAGCAAATACTGAAAGGAAACTACGAGAAATACTTATAGATGGTAAAGAGTGAAAGCGAGAAGAAAGGACTAAGTATCCATTGCAAGAAGACAGAATGCACGATGGTTAACAAAAGGAAGAGACCAATATGCAAATTACAAATTGGAAATACCAAATTCAAACAAGTACAAGAATTCAAATATCTGGAAAGTCTTTTAACAGAGGACGGAAAGTGCGACAATTAAATCCGATGGTGTATTGGTATAGCGAAAGTTGCTTTCTAAAATTAAGTATTTAGAAACAGACGAACGTCGTTAGAAATAAGGAAAAGAGTATTGAACTGCTAAGCAAATCCAGTCCTCCTATATGGCAGTGAATGCTGGGCAATCTCCTCACAAACGAAGAAGCAACAGAAATGTTGTTCTGCAGAAATTTTCTGAGAATAACATGGACGGCGCATGTGAGCAACGCCAAAGTTATAGCGGTAATGACAACAAAAAGGACAGTTATACATAACATCATGAAGAGATAGCTGAAATGTCTAGGGAACATAATGGGCTTAGAAAATTTTATAATCAAATAACAAATTGAAGGCCGGAGTGACAGAGGAAAGCTACACATCAACTAACCAGGGAGCTAGAGTAACTGAATGGTGGAGCAAAATTTATTAAGAACTTCAAAAGGCAGGAAGTTTTTAGTGGATACTCGTATGTGAGTAGACGTTCTGTTTTATTTAATGCCTGACAATACCAAATTGGTGAAAGCACAGTAACAGGAAAGATTTTTTCTAAAAATGTTATGTCATAAATTTTCTTTTTTTTTTGAAAATTATATTGAGTTAATTCTCATAAATGTAAGTGTTTTTCCATATATATATATATATATATATATATATATTATACATAGACTTTATAAATTTTAGCGGAGTAAGAAACTAACACTGAGGTCTTATCAATTTACTGTTGTTTTGGCTATATGCCACCGGAAGGTCTTTGCCAGCAATTTGTTTTCTCATACTTCTTGCTTGTGGAAATCTTTTCTGGCTTCTTGCTTTCCAGTCAAGTTTGATTTTCAAAAATTTAAATGTAATGTCAATCACTTTCTATTATCCACGTGATTACTATCCTTTTTTTCTCGCACCTTAGTAATGTTTTTCCACAATCCCTTCTGTCTTAGAGGCTTTAATGCCTTGCTTGGCGTCGAATCGCTTAAAAAAACCGACCTAGCAGACGAGTGTGAGCGGAAACAAGAAAACAGACAGTATAAAATGGGATTAGATTGAGGAAAAAATAAATCCCCCACAATTGTTACGATTTACTCAAGTTTGGATCTATCTATCTATCTATCTATCTATCTATCTATTTTATTTTAGCTTATCAATCTCTCTCTGGTTACGGTTATGTCAGATGGTTTGACGTAGTGATCACCGAAGTTAAGCAACGCCGAATTTAGTCAGTACCTAGATGCGTGACAATATATCTATCTGAACTTGTTCCTATCTAGCTTATCGATCTCTGTCGGGTTACGGCCATATCAGATCGGAATATTGGTTGACGTAGGATCAACGAAGTTAAGCAACGCCGAGTTTAGTCAGTACCTAGATGGGTGACAGTTTGGGAATACCAGGTTCTGTAAACATGGAAATGCAGGTGATGCAATGGATAACGTTTCGGAATTTTGAAATCGGAGAGCCGGTTTCCAATTCTAGTTGTGTTGGTTGTATTCACTTACGTGCAAATATTCTTGGAAAAGTTATGACTCCAATAACACATTTAATATAGTTTCGCCCTAACCAAAAATATGTATATGTAATATCTGATTACGATTGTAAAATGCTTGAGGCGGCTTTTCGACTCATAAAAAGTATTTTTTTCACCACTGAGAATAAGAAAAATATCAGTTTTGAAGCAGTCCAATTTCAAACTGTTAGTTTTACATAACTCTTTTGAATAAATCAATTGGGCTGCCAATTCCAATTAATCTCACTGCCATGAATTTTATATCCACAAAGCCAGAAAAGAATCCTACAATAAATTTGGAGATTTCAAGTAAATATGTCTACTGAAATATAAGCCCACTTGCATCTATGGATGTGATTCCAAACAAAGTTTGTATTTAGAGGATCAAAGTTATCTTAATTTCTATTTTTGGAAAATATCGACCAAGATATAAAATATTAAAATATTATGAAAATATTATTTTTTTCAATAATATATATATATATATATATATATATATATATATATATACACACGCACACACATATACATATATACAGACACAGATATATACACACACATAAACAAATATATACAATCATACACACACATATATATATATATACATACATGCACACACACATGTAGGAAAATCTGAATGGCCCTTTCACTAGAGAATTAATAATTATCGTAATCGAATTAAGTCGACTCCCCATGAAAAATTATTACCTGTAGAACAACATTTCCGCATGGAAAAACACGATTTCAAAACCCATGCCAAATTCACGATAATTGAGAGAATAGAAAAGTTCAGAGCAGATAACATTGGAAAGATTTTAGAGTCCCATGAAAATAAGTGGATACAACGTTTAAAAACAAAATATCCAGCCGGGCTAAATCATAAATTTAACAATACAGATAGTACCAAAATATAAATCAACAAATCAAAACCTACCCACATTTCTCACCCAC